CATTCCTAAGCTTCCCTGTTTTGCTGCGTTGGCTCCGTGGGCTGCGCGCGGTCCCGCTGCTGCCGTGGCAGCCTGTCACTCGTGGCAGGCAGCTCTGCAGAGAGGGCACCTGTTCCAGCACAAAATCTGTGCCTGTCCAGATTGCGAGGCCCTGGCAGGCAGCAGGAGCTGGCTTCATGGCGGGCCGACATATGCAGGGGACACTGGCTGTGCCACGGGGCAGAAAGCCTCCTGCCGCCGCCGCGCGCATTACGGCGCTTCCCAGGGAGGGGTGATGCCATGAAAATGAGATCCTTGCCTGCGGTCCTCTTCAGCCAAGTGGTGGTCCCCACTGTGGGAACCAAGTGCTGTCACCAAGTGCTGTCACTGCTATTTCCCCCCCCCCTTTTTTTTCCATCCTCTTCATCCTGGTTTTCACAGCAGAACATCAGCAACAGTAGAATGAGGCAGGGTTTGGATCTCATGGCAGAACTGATCCAGCACAGGCTGTGTTGCTGATGAATGAAACAGAAAAGCTCTTTCTGCCATAGCTCATCATGGCATAGGTCACTCATTTCTAAAAAAAGTTTTCCATCTCTTTGTTTATGTGCTCATTAGTTCTGGCCACCCGTAGGTGCAGCAGTGTTGGTTGTTCATGCAGCTGGAGAGGCTCTGACAGAGCTCATAAATGTTTATTACGCAGTTTAGTCCCCCAAAAGTAGTGACTCAGCAATGATCAGACATCTCTCACGGGACAAACAGTTCCCAGCTATTCACAACTTGCTTTAAAAACCTGCATGTCACTGGGCTGCCAGGAGGCAGGACTTGAGTACCTCACATCTGTATTGCTTCTGCACAGAGAGATTGCTAAGCATGTCCTGGGTGTTAGGACAAGAGTACTCTTGCTTTATTTAAAAGAGTTTTTGTTGTTTTTTTTTTTTTCTGGGGATTTTTAAACTCCACCCCGTGATGCGCTTTGGGATGCATTCAGCTTTCTCTTCTGAATAGGGCTCCAGATGATGGAAATAAATTATCATAAATTAGAATAGATTGCACTCTTCAGCATCTCTACATCTGTCATTATGTTTCTTTAACAGTTCAGTTTAACATTTATACACACTCTGACAGCAGCTACTGGTGTGTATGCTATAAATATTGGCTTGCAGAAGACATTAATGGAGTTTAGGTAAACGTTTGATGCCGCTGAGATTCTGTTCCATATGGTGGTATGCAGTGAAATCAGATTCAACGTGCCACGTATAGTGCACACGTATTCCCTATAGACTGGCCCCCTGCAATTGCATCAGCTCACTACCCTACCAAGAAAGCACAGGTGCCTTCAAAGAGGAAAGTGAGGTTCTTGCAGCCTATTCTGGTTTTTACCACCTATATTGTCTGTGATGTTTGAAGCCAATGTGTAGCATGTAAAGATAGAAAGGGCTCATGGAAAAGAGGCATCTCGCAGAAGCAGCAGTCAGGAATTAGGCAACAAGCTGTGGGAACATTATGCTTTGAATGTGTCTAAAGATTTTCTGGACCAGATGCCGTTTTGTTAGGCAGAAACTGAGTAACGGGGTAAAAGCTTTGTGCATTGCTTGGTCACGATTGCTAAACCTGAAATTTATGACTCAACCTCTGGTGCAACTGTCACCAAAACTACATGAGGGAGCATGGTGTCAAGGTTTGAGGAGTCTGGCCTGCATCCCTCTGACTCACAGGAGGACAAATAGCTGAGGCCATCTTGGCAAGAGGCAGGAAGGAATATATTCTGGTTCTTCTAGTGTTCCTTTCATAGTTCAACAGAATTTGGATGTCTCCCACAGGTTTGGGGTTTTTTGTTTTGTTGATTTCTTTCGTTGGTTGGTTTGTTTTCTGTTTGTTTTTTTTTAATTTTGCTAATTGCAACACCTTGATTAGTGTAACCTGATGATGTGGCTGCCTCCTTTGCAGTATATCTCCAATTTACCCCATTTTCAAGCTAGCAGGAGGGTAAGAGGTGGGTTATCTGGCTCAGCACTGCAGAGGGGCAGTTGGGGTAAAGCAACCCAGTCTCTGCTCCTGATGTGGGGCCCTGGGAATTTATTATTTATCTGGCTCGTGCCGGCCCCGGGGCACATCTGCTGCAAGAGATGTGCAGGCTGCTTCGTCTGCCCCTGTGTAATGCAATGTAAGTAATGAAGTAACCGTAATGTACAAACTGACTCAAAGCAGGGCAATCTGAAGAGAAAGTGCTCTTCACACTGTAAATTGCTAAAGGTCTTTATGTTGCCAGTGAATTAAAAATCTTGAGAAGAAAAAACCCTCCAGTGCTGTAAGTTCAAGATGCATCTTTTAAAAGCTGCTGGTGGGGAGGGGAAGAGATAACTTATCTGAATGGAAATGTATTTAAACTCTGTATCTTCTACAGTTCCGGGCTACTGCAAAGAAAACAGCGTATTCCCTGTTGCTTGGCGAGCTGGAGACATTTTTGTGTAGACTGAATGGGTTTCTTTGTTGATGTTACCCCTTTTGATCTTAATCATTAGCCAGGTTTTCAGTGCTTTGCAGGTTATTCTTTTAAAAGAAGAAGTTGCTTCAGATGTTTTGGTGATTCACTCCTGTTTATTCAAACTGGCAGTACAGAGGAGCCTGGTGTGCTTGTGTGTCCCATGAGCAACACTGTCTGCAGCCCTCTTCCCCCTGGCTGGGCAGAAGCCCCTCTCTTATCATTTCTCAAGTTTCCAGGTTTTATTGTTGTTCTGACTGATTGTGTGGTTCTTCTGCCTCAACCTTCCTCTTCTTTCTTGTTCCTGCATAAAAAAATGTTTCTCAAAACCATTATCAAACTCCTTCTGCCCAGAGCAAAATCTTGCCCATGATTTTCAATTGAACAGTTAGTTGTGTCTAGGCTCGAGGCTGGCATTTAGGTCTCTCGAATGATGCTTTAAAGAAACTAAACTGTATTTAAAGAAAGGCAGCTTTTACATTGGCCTGATGTTAAAGACATTTTAGCCCAGCCAACAAGATTTCATGGTGAGCCTTGCTTCAGCAAGGAGCCCTTCAGCCTTCTCCAAGCTGAAAGAGAAGATGGACTCTGGGGAGCAGTTTCAAAGCATTGAAACTCTTTTATCATTATTGTGATTTTTTTCTGCATCTTTTGACTCTTTGAGGCCTGGACAATTCAGACCTGCACAGTCTGTGTGCAGCTACCACAGGCAGGGGTTTCTCCATGATGCCCTCATATAAGTCTCTGAATTAGGGAAGGAATGTGCAGCGAGAGGAAATTCATGTAAACGATATGCATTGGATCACTTGTCATGAGAATATCTCCTTGAATTGTGTACTTGATTAATTACTGTTTTTTTAAATTTAGCTCTCATCTACGCTGTAAAGATATTTTTGGCTGGAGGGAAGAGAAAGGGGCCCTTATTGTGGGTGGGTTTATCTGCTTGTTTTCAAATATACATGACGTTCTCATAGGAAACGGGTCTATGTACTTCTTCATCATTAAACCTTTTAGCTTTCACATATGGCTGACATTCCTAAATTCCAAAGTATTTCTTTTAGGCTTTCTGTGCACATCGTAAACCTAGACATGACCCATTCCTAGTTCCTACTGTCACCTGTCCCTGGCTGAAAGGCCCTTCAGGGTAGGACAGGAGAAAAGTCATACTTTTTGCACTTCAATCAGTGCTGGATCTCAGCTTAAAAATATCGCAAGTGAAAAACATGGATATGAGTCATACAGAAAACACCCTTCATTTCTCAGGGAGTAAAAATATCAGAAAAACACATTCTTCAGATGTTTCCTCCTGTTGAGAGGTAGCCACATCTAAGAATTCCGTTTGAAGTGTTCAATCATAAACGTTGGTTTCCTGCTGTCAGGGTGACCACTGGATACAGGAGACGCCTATTAAATGTTAACAGCTAGTACTCTGCCAGAGCTACATCAGTCCTCAGGTTCTGGCTGAGTTTTACATGAAGAGAAGATGGAGAATGCCGTGACTTCACTTCTTGGGTCAGGATACTCCAGTGATAACAGTCTGCAGTAAATGCCTCACTTCTGGAAAGTTCAGTGCTCACTTTGGACCTAAATGCTCATCCACATCTAACACATCTGGTGTCATATTCCAGGACAGCATATCTTCATGCTTTTGGGGGAGTGATCTCTTTCTTATCCGTCATTGGCTTTGCCCCTCAGGGGCTGGGAGACCATGATTTTGTATCATTTGGCTTAGTGGTATATTTGAAGTAAGCATGTTTTAAAATGCGTATGCATTTCCCTGTGTTATTACAAGATTAATATTTGAAAGGCTATTTAATACAAAAACGCTGAAAATTATTTAAATCTGAGATATGCTGGAGAGATCAGAGAACTCTTATCAACTGTTGAATTAGTAATGTTGAATTAGACATGAGAAAATCCTTTTCAGTTTAAGTGGCTTTTCTCATAACTTTTTACATGTTTAATGTCTTCATTCATCCTTCTAATAGTTGTTCCAGTTTCTGCTCTCCTTGAGTATCCATGCAGATGTGCACAATGCACAGAGTTCAGACCCTGATCCATTTAGCCTAGCTGTACATCTCTGAGAACCATCAGGGACACCTCAAACCACTTATCTCAGGGGGTCATTTTCCCCTTGTGGATGCAAAGATTGAGCCCTTCATGAATAATTTCATACTTGTATTTGAAAAACCTGGTCCTTCTGCTGTCTGAGAGAGTGGAGATCATACGTACTCTTCAGTTTAGACAGTTCAGCATTATCTTCCAAGAATATTAAACCTAAAAATTTGAACTGGAAATAACATTTGCATAGTATTTTGTAAGGATGCTACCACGAGACTCTACAAGGGGAATTACAAACATTGCCTCTGTTTTCTTCATAACTCTTGGAGTGGGTCAGCCTCTCTCCAGTCTCCCTTGATAATGAGCTGCTGTGAGAGCTTAGCAGAGCAATGTGTGTCCTGGTCGCACCAGATGGATCTCGTTTGTGTTGCTGTTCATGGCCATGATAGGCAGCAAATGGAGTGGAGCCTGAGGCAGCACTTTGCTGCCTGAAGTTGATGCCTGATGAATAACAGAGATAAATAAGGTGAGAGCCTGCCTTTGCTTTTCCCTTTGAGCGTGCACGTAAGTTAGGTGGCCCATGTTTGAAGAGACAATGTGAAATGAGCTTTCAAATATTTCCTTGAACTTGTCTTAATTATTTCATTATAATGGTAAGGAACAAAGCAGAAGAATCAATATGCCTAATTATTACATCTAAATGCAAGAGAAATTAGTCAGTGAACTTTCCCTTCTCTGGGGAGGATTAATCTTCCTATGCTCTATTTCAAATGTCTTGCAGAAAAATGAAAGGCTTATCACCTAGGAAACACGCGGTCCTAATCGCCCAGGTCTGGCTCTTGGATTTACTGACGGTGAGGGGACTTTTGGTTGATCTTCTGAAGCACAAAATTAGATTGTTTTGCTTGTGTTTAACCGTTGTAGTTGAGTTTTGTAGTTGGGCGATTTGAATGACAAACACAACTGGGGCATGAGCCTTGTCTCATCCCCAATGCCACCCAGTTGGCTGGTGCTGGATGAGAGGTGGGGACCTTCTAAACACCAGGCAGTGCCATGTGGAGGGGATGGGTTGGATCCTAATGCAGTGCTGTCAGTGGAGCGGTGCTAATTAGCTCAGGTTCTCAGCAATTAAGTGCTGTATTGATGAGTATAATGCTTACAGAGCTGTCTTGTTGCCTTTTTGATAGTTATGTGAGACTCCAAGAAGATGACATTTTGTGTGGCCTGGTGGCACGCAGCCACAAGATGATTACAGGTGATCCCGGTGGGACTTGATTCTTCACCCTTGAATTAGTCACTGAATTGAAATGTAAATATTTCCTGCACACAAGGTTTTGTATGGCAATAAATTCTGGTTCTAGCTCCTTGCTGTTGTTTTACACCAGGCCAATAATATCTCATGATACTTTCTACTATACAATTTCAAGTTGTGGCACAGATTTAAGATGATTTCAGATGAAGTGTTATATGAATAAATTCATCTTTACGTAAAACGTGTTTAACCCCCACCCGCCGTAAGTCTGACTTTCTGTAGATGTTGTCATTTGTTGTCATGTGTCATCTTGGTGGAAATCCAAGTCTGGAAGCACTAAGATGTGCTTCCCTAGAATAATTCCACATTTTTACACAGTCAGATCATGCGTAGCAATAGAAGGGTTAAGTTTATTCCTCGCCTGCAAACCCAACTTAGTGTAAAGAAGACTGAGAAGCTAAAATACGAAGTCTAAATAAAAGAAAAAAGGGCTGTTTCTTTGCATGGCACTGGAGAAATCAGCCTTACAGTTCACAAACTGAGATGACAGCTTGCTGTAGGGAAAACTTCAGTCCATCATTATTTTGCATTTTTGGGTTGCTTTACTCGTGGCGGTTTATTAATTAGTTTCTGTTTTGCACTCTTTCTTAAAAGACAAAGATTCCAACTCATTATGTATCACCCTTGTACCTTTCTTCCTTCCCAAATTACTTTGCATCATGGTCAGTTCCCATCTTCCCTGGCTGTCGAGTTGATTAACTGGGTGATGCTGACTGGAGGGCATGGGACGGGCCACTGATGCACCACCTGATTATGTGGTCATGGAAACCCCTGGAGGTAAGACCTCTGTTATCAAAATAAATTGGGATTTTCTGCCAACTAATGGTTGGCGAAGCTTGCACTAATGCTAGATTCTGCTGGATGATGCACTATGGAAGCCAATTAGCCTTTGCTGATAAGCTAGGCTTTGATTAAGCTCTTTTAGGCTTTCTCATCGCAAGAAACATGTACTACTCATTGAACATGCAAATGTATTTGCAGTGTGTAATTACAAAATTTTCTAAAGGAGCGACCTATTTTAAACAGGGCTTTTGTTTCACTCTTATTCCTTCATTGCACTTACCAACTCAGTCACACAGTCTAATTCAGCAAACATAATTGACTGGTTTTAGGAGTTAAAATATCCTGTTGTTGAATGTTTTATGCTTCAAATACCGATTATAATGAAGACCGCTGCGGTGGGTACGTAGGCTCTCTGCAGCCACTCTGAGAGCTTGCCCTTTGCAGTGAGCCTTTGGGACACAAAGGGCTGGCAGTGCTGGGATCTGCAGCTCCAGCCAATTTAAAAGTGATCTTGTCCTAATAATGCTGAGAACAAACTCTCTTTCAGTAACCATAGGAAGGTATAACTTACCCTGCTGAGCGTGCAGCTCATTGCACTTGATGGGAATTCACTTATTGATCCAATTAGCTCCTGATCCATTTGCAAGGTGATTGTTTATAATTAAAATTTATTATGGATGCGTATCGTGTCTTTTATCTTTGATGCTGATGATTTGGATATTATGGCCTGCCTTCTGTAGCTGATAATGGATTGTGAAGAGCATCAAGGAGTTAACTTATGTTCACACTCCTCAGGGATACATTTTCTGTGTTACATTCTCATTTGTGGTGTTGTTAACTGAGTGACAGTATCACGTTGCTTACCCGGTCATACATGTTTTGATAGCTTTAGTCACTTTGTCTAAGAGATTGCCTGAGCTCGTGTATCTGCCTCTATCCATAGCATGGTGCTTTAGAAAAAAGCCTAGGATATGGATATTTTGTTTCCAGGTCTAATTCATAGTTACAGTCCTGGAGTGTAACAAAGGCATTCCTATGGCTAGATGCATATGCTTCCCAGTTGTGGTGCCTTTAGTGTATTGCATGCCTAAGAACATGGAAATCAGTTATATTCTGTGTTTATACTGATAGGATCAAAGTTTGGCATAGTTAGCATTTTCCGGTTGAAAACCCTGGAAAAATTCTAAGATCAGAGCAGTAGAAAGAGACACAGAGAAATGGGCGGTGTAATGCCCCATCTACACTTTCCCTGTTGTACATCTCATCTCCTGTGGTGTGGCTGCAGACTCAGAGGGGAGGAAGGGCAGGAACAGAGCTAGTTCCAGATTCACCGTCTCCTGCACTTTTTCTCCCCCAGTCTCCCAGTGCTGCACTGACACCTGGGGTAGGGATCTGTCCCTGCTGTCACAGACCCTCTGAGATGCTCTCCAGGCTTGGGTTTTTTTGTGTCTGTTTGGGGTTTTCTTTAGGCTGGAGGAAACCAAGGGTTTGTTCCTTGCAGAAACCTGTGGTTGAGAGTCCTGCAGGAATAATGCTGTGATACAGGTTTTGCCCCCTTTGTAGGCTATGATTGATGATTTCAGCTCCCCATACCTTAGCTAGTGGGTTCAAGAAATACTTGAGATGAAGAGTGTGGTCATCCTTCACTTGTGAGGTGTTGCTTCCCCGGTCTCTGCCCTCTTGCTAAGCCAATTCTCTCTGCTCCTCACACATATACTCCCAGGGTTTCAGCTAACGACCACAGAGCACACTTCTCTTCTCTCTCTGAAGTCACATGTCTATCTTCTTCCAAATTAGCAGTTTTCACGTGTCCCACTGGACATTTGGCCTAAAATAGCCTGAACACTTCCATTGTTTTATGGTCATCACCAGCTTTCATGCCTGTGTGCAGGCTCTGGTGAGGCCACAGCCGGAACACACGCACCACTGCAGCCTTTATTTAAATTAAATTCCATCTATGTTGCATCGAAAGGTTCCAGGACTGATGTTTGAGTGCAAATATCTGAATTATAAATTAAATTCTACAGCATTTAGGCTTAAGAAGAATTTTTATAAAATCTTAAGAATTGTAATTCTTTCCCATTCTATCAATAGTAACTGCTAACTTGAGCATATGATGCAAAAGGCACTGAGGCAAAGCATTCACTTAGAGAGAACACAAGTGCCTTTTTCATCTGAGGCAAATTAGCAAAAAAGGGAGACAACTTCCAGCAAACTGTGGCTTCCGATCCACAAGCTGATAAAATCTGCATATTAGTCACAAGTTATTTTTCCAGATTTCTAGTTCATTCTGTTTTCTTACTTGAAGATGCTGGAATTCATTTTCAGGCCTTTCAGTCTCTGTTTCATAACTAGTATACTTAGTGGGGAGGGGAAGAAACAAACTCAAAATCATCACCACCACTGTTACTCTAGTTCACATCTGGCAGGTTTGATTTGGTTTTGTCTCAACCAGCAAAGATTCCAAGTTGGTTTTTACTCAGGAGTAAATCTAAGGAAGAATGCATTCTTTATTGTGAACATGTTCTGTAAAAATGGGATTTTTTCCAAAGAAAAGATGTTATTTTATGACAAAACCCCCCCATGTGATTGAATTATTAAATCCAAACCCTTCCAATTTTTAAGTCCAAGCCCTTCATTGCATGGATTTTGTGCTCAGCATCCCAACATGTCTCCTGTTTGCACACTGGACTTTTTAAAATCTGAGATAGATTTGCACATTTTATGCCTGTGTGGAAGCGTGAAGCCATTCTGAGTGTTTTCAGTAGTGGATGTGTGTCTGTCCAGGGCTTGCCCCATACTGAATTAATTGCTGTGAGGATTAATGGTACTTCACTGGTTTCACTTGCCTATCGAGGGGTTTAAGAGCCATGAGCTTTTCCCAAATATAGGAGACATCCCTGGCTTGGGGAAGGGGTAAAGTTGCCTCATTTTGTAACAGTGAAATCAAAGGCTCGGGGGAAGTGGTTTCTCATCAGAAAAGATGGTCACTTTGTAGCAGCAATGTCATCAGAGAATCAGCTTTTCTGCCAGAAATAGCAAGCACTGGCTACAGCATGGGCATTGCTGCTTAGGATAATTTGTAAGAGTATTTGGTTGCAAAGCTGGGCTTTTTACAACTTTGTAGCATTATAGTGACTGAGGACATCTTTTGACCTTCTCTTCAGTCACAGGAGGTGTTTTCTGCACTTTTTTGGCATGTGGTAGTTTGTGTAAGAGATGCTGAGCCTGAGTTTCTGTGCATCATCACTTCTGGAAAAGCATTGTTGTTCTCAGTGTTGTCCGTAGAGCAACTGGCACAATCAGAGCAAGTACCATAAAATAGGTTGGCTCTCATGGTTTCTAATGCTCCTCTAGTTTGCTGGTGCCTGTTGTCAGTGTATGCAAATTTGTGATTGGGTTTTACTGTGTTTTCTATCCTAAATTTAAATTTTATTCGCTTCTATGAAGGGATGCACAAGTGGGGGGAGCGCATCAGAGGTTATCAGAGAACATACACAGAATTTGTGGACTGGGAATACTGACCTACAAGCAGAAGGCAGCAAGGGCCAGTTTAATATGTACAGCACATGTTTCCAGTTTAGTTTGGTTGTTTTGGCAGAATACTGTTCTGCTGTATTATGCATTATTATTCCAGTCAAGGAATCATCCATACTCGTGCTTTTCACTGGCTGATTATCTTCTTTGCACACCTCTCTTGCCCCATTTTCCCTGCTCTCAGCCTGATCATTGCCTAGAGATGTACATACGTTGGTCCATCACTCATGAGGAGGATATTTTTGGTTGAGTCTTCTCAAAAGGACTAACATAGTGTTCATGTTTTATTCTTCCAATCTAGTCTGATTGATGTAAGAATTGAAGTGAATCTGCACATTTAGATACAGCAAAGACTGTTTTTATCCCCGATGAAATACTAAAATGCCATTAAAGCAGAATGTTTGCAGTAATTTTCTGTGTATGAATGCATAAAGGCCATAAAGAGAAGTGAACCTTATCGATTTGATGGCACTTATTATCCTAGAGCTATTTTTTCATAGGGTCCTTCTACCACAGTTCTGGACTTTTTTTATTTTCTCTTAAAATTTGCCCTGACATGTTTATGTTTTGGAGGAATTTTCCCTCTGCAGGATGAAACACCATCCTGTCATCTAACTTATTTCTCTATTTTTTTACTTGTGGCAAACTCTTGGAAGTTAAATGCTGAATTCATGGTGGGCTCGAAGGGATGCATGATTGCATTAACTATTATGCACTGTTCAGTACTGAAAATGTCTTCTGTTTATCTTCTGTTAAGGCAAACTAATTGATTAACCCATGTAAGAGTTTTACCTCTCAAGTGACACGTCGTTAATAAAGACAGTGTTTTCTAACGGATATAGCATTTTGTCTATTATTAGAATTGTTATTATTATTTTCAGTATGACCATGTTGGTTTTGCCTGTTGGTAGGCTGAGCAAGTAACAATGTTCTGCAGTGTTACAACACTATCTCTAATGCTCTGGGAGTATAAACTGTGACTGTTGTTGTTGCATGGTGTATGGGTGATTTCCATTCCCCAAGATTCCGCTCTCCTTAAAAGGCCAATATAGGTAACACATCTTGTGGTTGAAGGAGGATTTCAGGAAAAACAAATGCAAAGACATGTTTTAGAGAAGCACCTATGCTGGAGGAGTTGGCCTAAACAAGTAGGCTCAACTAACACCTAAGTGTCTGCACCTGAAAAATCCATATGTGGAAATCCTGCTGGGCTGGGTTCTGATTCTCTCTGAGTCATTCCTACTAGGTGGCATCACCACAGATTGCCATGACCATCTCCCTGACTTTGCAGCAAATCTGTCACTGGCAATGGATAAAAGTTGATCTTTTTTTCACATTATTGTGGTAAGATCTTTGCAGCCATGGCTCTGGATGCATCCAAGGGAGAGAAGGAGGGACTGTGTGTGTGTGCCCAGCGTGCAGCTGGGCTGGTACCCATCACCTGGGCAGGATCCGTGCTGCTTTCTGGAGCAGTTGCAGCTGGGATACTGTCGTGTTGATGCTACACTATTTAGATCTCTGGAAAAGATTTGGTTGCCATAACA